GAGGCCACCGCCAGTATTTGGAATTTGGTGACTTATTCCTGTACAGGTCTTTCCCCCTGCTGTAAGGAAGAGAGACGTAGGTTAATTAGTTTGGAGCTGGAATGGTCAAAGGTTGCTCTGAGTTTCTCGATAAAGAGCTGAAAATCAGAGACCTCATGGCCATTCCTGGCCAGTAAAACAGAAACCCAATCCAGAGCTCTGTCAGAAAGGAGAACAAAAATAAAAACAATACAGACCCTGTGGGGAAGTGTTCTAGGTAAATGTATGAAATTATTATATTTTATTTTTAATTATTTATGCATATGATCATAGTACCTATATTGTTCTCTCATCTGTGTTTTCCTTATACTATCTTGATTACTGGAAAATCATTTTAGTTTATGCTTCATACATTTGGTTTCTACAGCAACACAGCAGATGCTTTCTTGATGTACAGCATAGTGTTACACATCCACCTCTTCCAGCGTTCATCAATGTTCTTCAGAATCCACCTACAGTTCATCTGTGGGTTCTTTCCATATGCTAACACTTGCCAATCTCATTCAGTTGTAATATGTCATTTTGGGACAGATTTGTATCCATGCTTATAAAAAGGCTTCCAGTGGCTTAGAAAGCTGAGGCTTTCTCCGGTATACACTACCTAGTCCTCAAGAGTGTTTGCAGATTAACATTTTTTGTTAGTTTTCCAAACTCATACATCAGAAAGACTACAGAAACCAAAATTATCCTGCAGATAGGATCACACCTTCCCCCTTCTCCTAATAACAGACTGCTTTTCTTCTAGATTTTCTCCATTCATTGAAGGTTTCATTTCACACCTCTCTACACCTATTCTGATTTCACACCTCTTGATTGGCCTCTCTTTCTGTCCCCCTGCTCCCGCCTCTCGCTCCTCCTCTCTCCCAGCCTTTGTTCTCCAGCTACATTACCTTTGCTTACTGCCTTGTCTTTCTCACACCTGAAGAAGGCTCCACGGCCGAAATGTTGTGTTTTCGTTCTTCTTCTTTTTTCAGCATGGAATAAACCTATTACTTGTTCTTTTGCAGCCTACGCATGCTGACACAGCTACCCACCTGAACTACTACATTGTCCACGCAGCCAATGTTGGTTTTCTTTTATAGCACATCAGTCATTTATTTTCTTTTCTCTTTGTCCCATTTTGTGCCTATTTATTCACTTTTTCTTAATTGGTTGTTAAATTATGATCTCATGTTTACTTCATATTCCTTTTCACAACTTTATTTCATCCCACCGAAGGACCAAAACAGACACTTAATAATGAAAGTATTGTCAATCGATTGTTTTTAAATCGACTTGTGATGCTTTTTGCTAATTGACTTCAGGTTAACAAAGAAGTACTCACTCATAAAATGACCGATTAAGAGGGGTTTTGAGAAACGCACGAAAAAGTAGCATGTACGTACATCGTAAAGTTTCTCGTTAGTCTCTAAGATTAATCATTTTTGGGAAACTCACCCCAGTTCAGTGATAAGAAAATTAGAAAGAGGAGTTTCAACTATAGAGGTTAAACCATAAACTGTTCAATATTTAAATCTAAACATTTATACTGTTTTAATATAGCAAAAAAACGTTGAATGTAATACACATATTGCTATTTTATTCTGAATTCACCACCTTTAAACTTTCATAATTCATCTGTCATTGCATTTTAAATTACACCAAAGACTTAGGAACCCTTAGACATCAGCATAGACATATTATATCAGCTTTGCCACAATTAAAGCGATGTTGAACATTGTTTTAAACACTTTTTTGACTAGCAGAATTCCATTATCACAATAGGATTGATTAAATGAGCTTGATTAGTTGACTTCTAAATTTGGGCAGCTAAGGTTAATGGACTGATGGACTGTTTTGAAACAATGGACTGGGAGATACTCCGTGAGCTTTATGTTGATAATATTGATGGTCTTACCCACTGCATCACTGACTACATAAACTTCTGTGTTGACAGTGCAGTGCCTACCAGGAAAGTGTGCTGCTTCTCCAATAATAAACCCTGGGTCGCCAGATCTGAAAGCTGTCCTAAATAGGAAAAAAGAGGGCTTTTCGGGCAGGTGACAAGGAGGAGCTGAGGTGAGTGCGGAAAGAGCTGAAAGTGAGAGGGAGAGCAAGGTGGCTTATGGGAGGAAAATAAAGGACAGGCTGATGGAGAATAATGTGATAGAAGTGTGGAACAGCATGAGGAAGATCTCCAGATACAAACTGTCCGGCGGCCAACAGAGTGAGGGAGGCCTGGAGAGGGCCAATGAGCTAAATCGTTTCTTTAACAGATTTGATACAGGGTCCACTGCCCATTCACCTCACAGGCCTTCACCCCAGACACCCTCTTCATGTCCTCAGTCACCCCATCATAAGATCCCTCCTACTCCTACTCCATCTTCCCCTGCCATCCTCGGCCTATCCATCACAACTGACCAGATCAGAAGGGAGTTGAGGAGACTCCGTGCAGGGAAAGCAGCGGGTCCTGACAGTGTCGGCTCTAGCGTGCTAAAGATCTGCGCGGACCAACTGGGTGGAGTGCTGCAGTTCTGAGCCTGATTAGAAAGGATTCTGGTGCTCTGGAAGACATCTTGATCTTGCCTGGTGCCAGTACCCAAAAGGGGGCACCCTAAAGTCTTGGATGACTACAGACCAGTAGCACTGACATCACACTTAATGAAAACTATGGAAGGGCTTGTACTGGACCACTTCAGAACCCTGGTGAGTACAGCACTGGACCCGCTGCAGTTCGCCTACTGGTCTCACTTGGGAGTGGAGGATGCAGTCATCTATCTTCTACACAGAGGTAACTCTCACCTGGAGAAGACAGGGTGCATTTTGAGAGTTATGTTCTTTGATTTCTCCAGTGCTTTTAACACCATCAATCCCCCATTACTGAGAGATAAGCTAAGGGCGGTGCAGGTGGACACTACCCTGGTGTCCTGGATTATAGACTATCTGACGTGCAGGCCACAGTATGTACAGCTACAGAGCTGTGTCCGAACAGGTAATTAGCAGTACTGGGGCTCCACAGGGGACTGTCCTTGCTCCATTCCTGTTCACTTTTTACACCCCTGACTCAGGTACAACTCTGAGGCATGTCATCTGCAGAAGTTTTCGGATGACTCTGCAATTGTGGGGTGTATTAGTGAGGGGAGGAAGGAGGAATATAGGAGCTTGATTACCAGCTTTGTGGAGTGGTGTCATCTTAACCATCTCCAGCTAAACACCAGCAAGACTAAAGAAATGGTCATGGACTTTTGAAGGAATAAGTCTCCGCTGAACCCTGTTTCCATCCAAGGTGAGGACATAGAGGGGGTGCAGTCCTACAAGTACTTAGTGGTAAACCTGGATGATAAGGGGTGGTCTGTTAACACTGACGCCCTGTTCAAGAAAGGTCAAAGCCGACTCTTATTTTCTTAGGAGGCTCATGTCCTTTGGTGTGTGTGTAACACTGCTACACATTTTTTTAAGAGTCAGTGGTGGCAGTAGCCATGTTCTACGCTGTTGTGTGCTGGGGCAACAGCATCATGACAAGAGATATGCTCAATAAACTCATCAAGAAGGCTGGCTCTGTGTTGGGGCTGAGCCTTGACCCCCTGGAGGTGGTGGCGGAGAGGAGAATGCTGACCAAGCTCACGGCCATCATGAACCTCCTCTCATCCACTACATGGGACTGTTATTAGGCAGCGGAGCACTTTTAGCAACAGACTGCTCCAGCTACGGTGTTCAAGGGAACGTTTCCACAGGTCCTTCCTCCAGCGGCTGTCATGGTGTGTAACACTGCCTTAGGCTAGGACTTGTTAGCCCTTCATCTGGTCATCTATAGACAGCATGTTGCACTATTGTACTTTTTGGACACTCAATCGGTATATACTGTACACCTATGCACATTTTGCACATATTTTATTGCTTCACAGTGACTATGAGCATATTTTGCACACGCCTTACTATATTTATTTTATGTTTATCCCGTATTGCTGTACTTATTTAAATTTTTAGTCTATTCTGATGTCTGTTTTTGCTTGTCTTGTCCCAGCAGCCATATCACTCTGCAACTCAGAACTGGCAACCCCTCCAGCAGGTCTGAAGCTAAGCAGGTGTGAGCCTGGTCAGTACCTAGATGGGAGACCTCCTGGGAAACACTAAGGTTGCTGCTGAAAGAGGTGTTAGTGAGGCCAGCAGGGGGCACTCACCCTGCGGTCCATTTTGGTCCTAATGCCCCAGTATAGTGACGGGGACACTATACTGTAAACAAGCGCCGTCCTTCGGATGAGATGTAAAACTGAGGTCCTGACTCTCTGTGGTCATTAAAAATCCAAGGGTGTTTCTCGAAAAGAGTAGGGATGTAACCCCGGCGTCCTGGCCAAATTTCCCATTGGCCCTTACCAATCATGGTCTCCTAATAATCCCCATCTATGAATTGGCCTCATTACTCTGCTCTCCTCCCCACTGATAGCTGATGTGTGGTGAGCGTTCTGGCGCACTATGGCTGCTGTCGCATCATCCAGGTGGATGCTGCACATTGGTGGCGGTGGTGGAAGGGAGTCCCCATTACCTGTAAAGCGCTTTGAGTGGAGTGTCCAGAAAAGCGCTATATAAGTGTAAGCAATTATTATTATTTTCTAGGGCTGGGCTGCTGTAACACCTCACTTTCCCTTAGGGATCAATAAAGTCTTATCTATCTAAATGGGTAATATGGGTTATTCGTTTAATCTTTACCATTTTTCTATTGTTATACTAGTCTTCCATAAAGCTTATGCTAAATTTATGTATGGCAGTCTGACCAGTATTACCAATACTAGTGGTTGAAAATGCAACCGAAGTTTCGTGCTCAAAAACTATGCAGTTCTGGTTAGCATTTGGTCCACCTTAAGAAAGCACTTCTACGTACATAATTTCCTGAACTCAATTTTCACCAATAGCAAAGACACATTCTTACTTGCTGCTAGTTCCCGACTGTTACAGTTGTCAGGATTGGTTCGAACAAAGTGAAAACAGCTCTGAAAGATCTTAAGTACAGATTGTTTGGGGGCAGTAGAGAGTGACAGCTTAAAAAAAATAGAAAGGAAGAAGGAAAATTTGTTCTGATCACGCCATTACAATCCGCTCTGGAACAGGAAACTTTCCAAAACCTTTCACCCTTTCAGCAGTTCTGGATTTCTTCTTGGATCGAATGTGCTTATTTACTACTGCTTGGATTTGTCATTTATATTTGAGGTGGATCTGCATGTCGACTAGCACATTCTCTTTGGGGATTTTACTTATCAGTGCATTTGATCGTTTTTCTTCGAAAAGTGCGTGCAAACAAGACAAGAAAGCTTTTTGGATACATTTTCCATACCTTAACAGGACGAACGCAGCATGTTGGCTAATGTAGGCATCTATGCTGCCAAGAAACGGAAGAAGCCCGTGCAGAAAATGTAAGATATTACTGCCAAAGCTTATTATATTTAAATTTTGTTTTTTAGTTACATGTTTATCTAAAGAAATAATTTATTAATTCACTCCAGTCTTTGGTTATTTAAAGACGTATGATCTTTCAAGTAATTCTTCAGAGTAAAGAAAAATGTTTTCTAACTTAAGCTTTAGAACAATGAAAACCAGAATGCTAGAGTAGTTTTAAAGGAATTTAATAGGAATAATAGTGTACTTTTTAGTTTTTATGTAGCTGTAAGAGTTGTTGTTTTCACAAAGCTATAGCCTGTTTATTTAACTGTAAAATGTTGGGTACAGTAAATTGTAGTTAAAGTACCGTATTTAGGCAGTGACAAAGATCCCTGCATGTACAGTATATATCATTAGAATATGTGATGTATATATCCCCAATGATTATGAAATCATGGTAATATACGTAATAAATGTACAAAACAAGTTTCAGTGTTTACAATGCAAATAGTTAATTTGATCAAATGTTACTTTTGTTTTTTATGCTATATTTCTCTTGTGAGAACTATTATATTTACTACTGCTGTTTAAGAACACTTCTAAATTATGTATAAAGTTAGTAACGTTTTTATGCGTGATTATATATTCGATGCGTAATTTTTGGTTTGTGCATTGAATGTGAGCAACTTCGCGCATGTGGAGCGTATTTTTCTGTGCTTCACTTTCTCTAAGGGTTACCTTAAGAGCCTGCATTGGTGTGTAGTTTTGGTTTGGCATGGAAATAGTACTCTTGCATTAATCATAGTCAAGTTGAGAGTTGGCGGTGCTCTCACGCGATGCTTACATGAGGGAGGGGGAAGAGGAGGGACTGCTGGCTCGAAGCGTGTTATTGTAATCTGATATATGGTTTCTTCTCATTACGAGAACAAACTTTTTTGTCCTTTTTTTAATTAACATCTCTATTTAAGTCACGCAAACAAGTTGCACAATTGCGGTGGTAAACGTAATACAGTTAAATGCCTTTTTTTCTGCTTTATCTGTATGTTATGCTGTATTTTGAGTAGCGATTACACGCAAAGATGCATCATGCCTTTCGGAAAGTCCATTTAGAACGTTACTTTATTCGTTTCACAGCGATGTTCTAATAGTGGAATTTCCATATAAGAGGTGGAACTGGACTATAGAATCAGAATTTATACATATAATGTAGTAACTTTCGGGGGTTACGTTCTTGGTCTCGGCTATTCCCATTAGAATTTTTTTCGGAGGTTAATGCTAGTACAGGTGAACCTCATGTATTGTGTCGGAGAGGGAGGTGAAATTCCTAGTTCATGTATTTAAATATCCCCACACCATCACCAATCCCCACACATGTGACTGCGAATACTTGAAGTGTTTTATTAGTAACCTGATGACAATACTTTGACTAACAATCAGATCATTACATACATATCTAGCTAACTCGTTACAAACGTGTAATTTTCAAATATTTAAAATGTGCTTTTTATCCACAAAGTCGTTATATGTCATTTATATAATTAAAATCTAAACTTTGGTTTTGTATACTTCTCGGTTGCCAACACCAGATGTAAGGGTTGCTTTCCCAAGATGTCACGTACTGAACTGTATTTGCGTTGCATGTGTATTAGATGCGAGTTACGTTATTTATTTATCTAACAGAAAGTCGATAACAGATTTTCAATAACGATGTAAATAAACACTTGGCCCAGTGGTTCGTTATTGCTATCACGCAGCGTTGGGTCCCTGGGTTCTATTCCGTACCTAGGGTGCTACTTGCATGGAGTTGGTATGTTTTCCCGTGTCCATGTGGGATTGTCCGGGTGCTCTGTTTTCCTACCACAGACCAAAACATACTGGTAGGTTAACTGGATTCTGAGAAAATTGGCCATGGTTTGAATGTGAGAGTCTCTGTGTGTCTGTGTGCCTTGGGCTGGACTTCTGTCTCGGCCACTTACTGTAGCTTGCGCCCTGCCTCGATCTCGTTGCTTGATGATGGCTCTGGTTCACCTGTGACCCTGAATTGGAAGAAACGGTTAGAAAACGGATATATTGATATACCTAGGTCTAAATATTTAACACTCGTTTTTATTCAGTATTTTTTACAATCATGTCCTTTTTAAAAGTGATTTGAAATTCTACAGTTGCAGAGAATCGGAGAGTTAAGTTTAATATGAGGGATTATTATTAGGGAGTATTAATTGGGAGGAGGGTGCGATGAATTGTAGAGCCACTATTGGCTAATGGGTGACTATCTGATAATGTCTATGGTACAATATAGATGTGGTTTGGTGTGTATTTTCAGTGTAAAATCAGGCATCCAAGACTTTAAGACTTGCATTTTCTTAACTATTTTCCATAGCTTGTTCTTAAACTGCAGTTGCAGCTTGGAGTGTTGGATTCCTTTATAATCCACTTAATTTACAGACTGTAAAAATACGGAGGTGTATTCACTGTAAAGACTGGTTTATTTTTGCTTATTTAGTTTTGTCAATGCCCATTTGTCTTTTGAAACTAGTAAAAACGAAGTACTTTAAATTTTCAATCAGAAAGCCCCAGAGTTGTTGAACCAAAAAGTAACCAAAAGCTACCAGATGAAAAAAATGTTTTATGGGATATTAAAAGTTATGCTTTCAACTGTTCAGGAATTAAGGCAAAATTCTGAGGGCCATTGTAATGGTTAATTATGTCTTAATACTAGGCACCCCAATTTTGTGATCGCTTTGAAACGTATTTGCATTAATATGTTTTGAATTATGTTTAACCAGTATGTATACAAAGAAAATATGGCCCATTTTGAACTATTCTTACTATACTTTCCTATTCATGATTTTGTAAGGAGAAGTTGACATGAAAAGTCTTTTAGAACTGAAAAAAAGTTAATGACTTGCATTGTTTGATATAGTTGAAAGTTTATTGCCAGTTATTTTTTATACATACAGTAGTATGTCTATGTTGCATTTACCAAATAAACTCAGCCAAGACTATAAGTACCTCCCTACATTTTAAACTAGCCCCATCAACTGTCAACATTGTACTTCCCTCACCATTAAAGAAAATTAAGTCACACATTTTAAATAAAATCTTTGGCACTAAAATTCACTTATTTGCCTCATCATTGCCTCTGTGTATTTGGTCTAATAATGCACTATGAGAAAAATATCTTTGCAGGTTTTCTGGTAGTTCAGAGAGAATATTTAGACTGAAAGTAAGTCCACAAAAGAATACTGATGGTCACTTGCACCTCAGTTACTGATGGTCGCAGACTATTTGATGTTAAAGCAAGTTGTAGTAATTCGGTACTGTTTAGGGTCACCTTTTGGCATTATACAGAGGATTACTGTCCATGGTAACATTGAATTAAGATGTCAACAATGTAGTAGTACTGCATCAAATAGCTCAGGTCTGAGTCATCTCATGATTATATTTTTCTATGGCAACCAGTTCTGATGATGCTTTATTGTAGGTTAAAACATGTGACTGATTGATTTTTTTGTTGAATAAAGGCATCTAGAGGTGTCTAGGGAGTCTAGTAATGGTGAGTAATAGAGTCTGAAGACCTAGCAAAATCACATAGTGACATAGTAATGTTTCTGCAGGCAATATTTTGTGAGTCCATTTTCCTTGTTTTTCACTGAGCCATGGCATCATTGCAATAGGATTAAATCTGTGATATTTTTGCTTTTGTGTCTAAATATCACCTAGGCACTTGCAGTCTTGCAAGCACACATTCATTACAACAATGAATTTTCAGTTGTCATTTTATATTTCACACCTGAAGAAGTCTCCACAGCCAAACCGTTGTTTCTTTTCTTCTCTTTTCAGCATGGAATAAACTTTTACTGTTCCTTTGCTGCCTAAGCAAGCTGATGTAGCTACATACTTGAACTATTTTATATTTCATGTGACATATTTTAAAGAGGCAGCACTACATGAAAAAATATAAGAAAGGTTACAAATACGAGAAGGCTGTTTGGTCACAAAAAAGTATTCAGTTTTTTTTCTTGCTTTAAGTTGATTGATCTACTTATCCTTATGGAACCAGCATACAGCATCAACAAAATAATTGGGCAGCAAGTTTCAGACTAGCACAGCCCTTTCTATAAAAACACACCTCCTGTTGTCAGTTTTAAATGCACTTTCCCATTGTTTTCATTTGCATCTTCTGGTTCGTGTTTCAGTGTTGACTCTGAACAAGTACAATATACTTCCTCAGAGTCTACTCTGTTCAAAATAGTGTAATAATAAGAAATCCTTTGGGTTGACCTTGTAAATTACTTTTAGGATTTGAATTAGGTCCCTTGTCATCTTTTCTGTTTAAGACTTAGTTCAAAGATACAAATCTTTTAGCATGTCAGAGTACATTCCTTTAAATTGGAAATTATATCTGGTTGTTTTTCTCTAGACAGATTCAGGACATAATGTGATGATCAGAATTGTACAAAATATTGTAAATGGGGACTTATCTACTCTCTGTACTTATCTACACTCTCTTTTATCGAATCAATCTAAATTTCCTGCCTAAATAAACCTTATAAAACACCTCATATGCTATGTTAGGACTAGCAAACCAGCAAAATGGACCATATGGAACCTTTTTGTCTTTAAAACCTTTTGTTATGTATTACCAAGTAATACAAAAGCAGTACATGCTTCTTCAACATTTTCTAAGGATATTTTGTTTATATTGTTCTCGAACAAAGTCGTTTGCATACATTTAAATTTAGGGCAGATGTACTGTATTATATAGTAGCCTTACAAAAATATGTTTGCACTTATTATCTTTCTCACTTATTGAAGAATACTAATTCTCTGTAAGTCTCTTTTAACACTCTAGATATTGTAAGGCTCAGAGTTGAAAATATAATCCTGGATTGATTATACCAAAGTTTCCTAAAATGTAATTCTATTCTACTTCTTCCAGAATGGCCTAAAAAAGTTTCATTGCAAAGATCAAAAATGTAAAATGCTATTTTAATATGGGTTCAATTAATCAAAATTGCCATATTTCTAGTTT